AATTCTCACGATTTTTAACCTCGGGAAATTTGTTCCTAAAGCCGGAATTTTTTTGAAAATTCTGGCTTTGAGAATGATTTTCCGACCAAATTTCAATTCCGGCTATCGGAGATTTACGGTTTTAAGGGAATCCGGCTAACGGAGATATTACTGTATCAATTTTATTGTTTATCATAGTAATTTTGTTTTTGTTTTTATGTATGATATTTGAAATTTGTTCAAATTAGTTTAACCTTGTTGCTCACGAAATCATTTATATAATGTGGAATAAGTGTTAAAGAACTGTCCAATAAACATGGCATTGGAGCGTAAGATTGAAACAATAAAGATTTCTGTTGTACAATTTGATTAAGTTTTTAGCAAATAATTAGCAAATTTCCTGTGTTTTTAATGCTTATTCATTTTGGAAATTTGACCATGGTGGGGTACTAATGAGCACGAATTTGCAAGACCTACCTATGTTTGTTAATGAAGAAAAATCACACATTTATTAGTTTTCTCCTAGGTTGTATGTGTATTTCAGTATAATTTTAAGGGTTAGCTACCATATCAATATGGAGCACCGCGGTCCAGTCAATACCATGCTCAACTCCTGTTCCAGAGGTCAGTGGTTCGATTCCCAGGCACTCCCAGTTCTCCTAGCTGAAAATGGGTATCTAAGTTTACAACTTAGGGAAGTAAAAGCGGTCAAGAGCAGTACCATGGCCATGCTGCCTCCTTGTATACCAAAGGCTTAGTAGCTATACACTGTACAGTCAACCCTCGCTTTACGCGGTCCCACATTCCGCGTTTCCACGTTTACGCGGTACCCTGCCGAAACCGGAATGCTCACATTCCGTGGTGCGTGTACCCCTTTACGCGGAGAGCGGCGCGAGCAGTGTGCGCACAAGGTCGCCCAGTCATCAAAACATTACCGAGTTCTTCACCCGCCACCCACCACAGCCGGCCCAAGCCAGTGATAGTGATAATGATAGTGAGGATATGGACTTATATGGACTTTGAGGGGTTTGACAAAGAGGCCCTACAAGCCTCTGTGGTGGATAGTGATACAATTGATACAAGTGATACAGGTGAGGGCCAATAATCTGGCCTCTTTCCTCGGAACCAACCCCCCATCCCCGTGTGCCTAGCCATCTTTTCTACTAATGTAAGTGTTAAAAAACCTAATATTATTGATATTTCTCTTAATTATTAATTGTGTGTGCATACCATCATAAAATTAAGAAGTAATTTTTTCTACAACGTAGGTATTGTGTCTGAAAAAGTGGAGTTTGGGGGTCGGCCCGGTCTCTATTTCAATTAATCCCATATGTTATGCTGTTCACTTTACGCGTTTCTCACTTTACGCGGGCCGCCGTGGGTTGAATTAACCGCGTAAAGTGAGGGTTCACTGTACTATATTCACACTGTCCTTAACAGTCAGTCGTGCCTATGGGACCCACTTTCACTTTTTAACCATCCCAATAGTGTATTGTATCACTTTTAAGAAAATTCTGGAATTTTACAGTACTGTACGTGGTCCCTCGGTTAACGAACGCCATTCATTCCAGCAGGTCGTTCGTTAACCGAAACCATTGTTCCAATGGGATTTTGGGTAATTGGTTCCAGCTCACCGAAAATTACATACAAACTAAAAATAAATGCATTAAAGTACACTTACTTTGAGGTGTGCATGTAGAAGTCTCCTGGTTGATGATGATGGGAATTAGAAAGGGGGTCGAGGAGAAGGGAGAAGAGAGACATTGGGGTGGAAGAGAAGTCATCCCATGCTGCCATTTCACCCATAAAATTTGAGTTCACTTGGTGTAATTCAAGATTTTATTCTTTAAATCAACACTGCGAGGACACACACTGACGCCATTTTGGGTGTGTTGACAGGCTGTTTGGCGCGCTAAAAACTAGTTCCCTGTACAGTGGTCCCTCGGTTAACGAGCACAATCCGTTCTAGAAGGTTGCTCGTTAACCGAAACCATTGTTTCAATGGGTTTTTGGGTAATTGGTTCCAGCTCACCGAAAATTGCCTAAATTCAACAAAAATGTAGCAAAGTACACTTACTTTGAGGTGTGTATGTAGAAGGCTCCTGGATGATGATGATGGGAATTAGAATTGGGGTGGAGGAGAAGGGAGAAAAGAAGGCATTGGGGTGGAAGAGAAGTCACCCCATGGCGCCATTTCACCCATAAAATTGAAGTTCTCTTGGTGTAATTCAAGATTATTTTCTTTAAATCAACACTGCACTGCATTATATATTGTCAATATGTAAAATATATTTCAAAATGACCAATAATTTGCTTGCAAACACAGAAAAAAAGCGTTTAGTTGAAGAGAGGCACAAGCAAGATGTTACCACCACTGTAATGACACAAAGACTGACGCCTGTATGGTGTGTTGAGAGGCTGGATGGTGCGCATAAAACTAGTCACTTTACCTTAAATTATGTTCAATAATTGTTAAAAGGACTAAAAAAATTAATATTAAATTTTTAAAATTATTGAATAGTATAAACTTGATATTTACTGAAATACGTAGTAAGGAATTTAAGCCCTAGAACCGATTACTGTATTGGCGGACTAATACTACAGCTGGTTGACCGCCAAGTGCAAGCGAAAACATGTTGAGGTCGGCTCGTAAGAAACTCGTTAACCGAGGGATTGCTCGTTAACCGAAGTTAAGAATTTTATGGGAGGTAACTCGTTAACCGAAATCTCGTTAACCGAGGCACTCGTTAACCGAGGGATCACTGTACTTCATTTATGTTAAACAATTGTTAAAATGACTAAAAATTTAATATAAGACTTGGAAAATTATTGAATAGTACAACCTTCTTGATATTTACTCGAATGATAATGAATTTAAGCCCTAAAACCGATTACTGTATTGGCGGACTAATACTACAGCTGGTTAGCAGGCGAAAACATGTTGGGAAAAATCGAAAATTACATACAAACAAAAAATAAATGCAGTAAAGTACACTTACTTTGAGGTGTGCATGGTAGGGTATGCTATAACGAATCTAATTGGTTCTAGAACCTTGTTCATTTTAACATTCGTTCGTTATAGGGGTAATCCGTTATAGGCCCCCAAATACAACCACTTAGCAATGAAAAATATAATGTAAAATTGAAATAATTGTAAAAAAGTGCATAAATATGCATTTAAACTCCTGAAATAAAGAATATCAATAATACTTGTAATAAAAAATAATAAATTAGTCCAAAAAATAAAACAAAATACTGTTCGTTGTAGGAGTTTCGTTTGTTATAGCATTTTCAATTTTATAGGGAAAACCGTTCGTTATAGGAATATTTGTTATATAATCCGTTCGTTATAGCATACCCCACGGTAGAAGGCTCCTGGTTGATGATGATGATGGGAATTAGAATGGGGGTGGAGGAGAAGGTAGAAGAGAATGCATTGGGGTGGAAGAGAAGTCACCCCATGCTTCATGTTGCCATTTCACCATAAAATTTGAGTTCACTTGGTGTAATTCAAGATTGTTTTCTTTAAATCAGCACTGCACTGCATTATATATTGTCAATATGTAAAATAAACTTCAGAATGGCCAATAATTGTACTGTAAAAATGTAAAAATAGTTTATGTTCAAGAGAGTCTGAAGCAAGATGCTTCCTCCTCTGAGCAGGGACACACACTGACGCCATTTTGGGTGTGTTGAGTGGCTGTTTGGCACGCTAAAAACTAGTTCCCTGTACTTCAATTATGTTAAATAATTGTTAAAATTACTAAAAACTTTAATATAAGACTTGGAAAATTATTGAATAGCACAACCTTCTTGATATTTACTCAAATGGTAATGAATTTAAGCCCTAAAACCGACTACAGTGGTCCCTCGGTTAACAAGCGCCTCGGTTAACGAGATTTCGGTTAACGAGTTACCTTCCATAAGATTCTTAACTTTGGTTAACGAGCAATCCCTCGATTAACGAGTTTTTTACGAGCCGACCTCAACATGTTTTCGCTTGCATTTGGCGCTCCACCAGCTGTAGTATTAGTCTTCCAATACAGTACAGTAATCGGTTCTAGGGCTTATTTTCCTTACCATTTTAGTAAATATCAAGAAGTTTATACTATTCAATAATTTTAAAAGTTTACTATTAAATTTTTTAGTCATTTTAACAATTATTGAACATAATTGAAGGTCAGGAAACTAGTTTTATGCGCGCCACCCAGCCTGTCAACACACCAAACAGGCGCCAGTCTCTCTGTCTTTTCACTGGAGGTAACATCTTGCTTGAGACTCTCTTCAACTAAATGCTTTTTTTCTGTGTTTGCAAGCAAATTATTGGTCATTTTGAAATTTATTTTACATATTGACAATATATAATGCAGTGCAGTGTTGATTTAAAGAAAATAATCTTGAATTACACCAAGAGAACTAAAGTTTTATGGGTGAAATGGCACCTTGGGGTGACTTCTCTTCCACCCCAATGCCTTCTCTTCTCCCTTCTCCTCCAACCCCATTCTAATTCCCATCATAATCATCATCATCCAAGAGCCTTCTACATACACATCTCAAAGTAAGTGTACTTTTCTACCTTTTTTGTTGAATTTAGGCAATTTTCGGTGAGCTGGAACCAATTACCCAAAAACCCATTGAAACAATGGTTTCGGTTAACGAGCAACCTTCTAGAACGGAGTGTGCTTGTTAACCGAGGGACCACTGTACTGTATTGGCGGACTAATACTACAACTGGTGAGCAGGCGAAAACATGTTGGGAAAGATTCGTAAGGAATTCGTTAACAGAAATTTTTTCGTTAACCGAAGTGAAGAATCTTATGGAAGGTAATTCGTTAACCGAGGGATCACTGTGCAGTTATACTGTGTATGTGTCTTTATAAACTTGTTGATCCTTTGAGATAGTATGCTGTAACCTCAATCTGGTGAGGAGATTATAAAGTCATTCATTTTTATAACCAGGCAAGAACATGTACTGAAATTAACAAGATCATTTTCCTCATTTCTTTATGTTTATTTTGCAGCGTGAATTGGAGGAAAATTTTTCACAGTTTGGCCTTGTACACCGAGCATCTGCTTTCAGGAAGAAAAATTGTTTTGCAGAAGAGGAAAAGTAAGTTTATACACATTTTTCATTAATGTAATCTCATAGAATTAGACAACCATCAATAACATCAATGGAACAATTTTTAATAATAACATCAGTAAAAGTATGTTGGATTCTAATACAGTAATATCTCAGTTAGCCGGAATCCCTCTAAACTGGAACTCTCCGATAGCCGGAATTGAAATTTTCTTGGAAAATCGTTCCCAAAGCTGTCATTTAATGGAAATTCAAGCTTTGGGAAAAATTCTTTGAGGGGCACATTTTCTGGAAAATTCTGAGGAAATTTTCCCGTTACCCGGAAAATTCCAGGAATGGGGTACAGTGGGGTATGCTATAACGAACGGATCCTACTACGAATATTCCTATAACGAACGGTTTTACCTATAAAATTGAGAATGCTATAACGAACGCAACTCCTACAACGAACGCGGATGAATACGGGACTATTTCGCCTGGCGCATGAATATTGTTGTACCGCGACCCACAACAAGAGCGTCAGGCGCCATCTTTGTCTCATTGTGTAGCCAGTGCACCACTGTTATTGTTGAAATTTCGTCTTTTGATGTGGAAATTCGCGTTATTTGTATAACTATTTTGTTATACAAGTATACAATTGTAACAATGAATCGTCCAAAGCGAGTGAGAAAGCTAATAACCCTTGAAACTAAGAAAGAAATTATAAAGAAACGTGAGAATGGAAGAAGCATTGCGAAACTTAGTGATGAATATGGGATGGCTAAATCGACTATATGTACGATTTTGAAGAATAAAGAGGAGTTAAAAACTGTGCAAGTGGCTAAGGGAATCTTTAGACTTAGCAAAGCAAGGTGTAATGTGATTGAAGAGATGGAAAATTTACTCTTAGTGTGGATAAAGGAGAAAGAAATGGCAGGTGATAGCATTAGTGAAGCTATAATTTGTGAGAAGGCTAAACAATTGTTTGTGGACCTTAAAGCCAAGACTCCCAGTGGAAGTGATAGTGCTGTGCCAGTGTTTAGGGGTACCTGCATGCTGAATAACACTAAGGTAAGATAAAGTACCGTATTTTTTACATTTTCCACAGAATTTTTTCAGTGTTAAGTGGTTGTATTTGGGGGCCTGGAACGGATTAAGCCTATAACGAACGAATGCTATAACGAACGAGGTTCTGGAACCAATTACGTTCGTTATAGCATACCCCACTGTGTGTGTGTGTGTGTGTGTGTATATATATATATATATATATATATATATATATATATATATATATATATATATATATATATATATATATATATATATATATATATATATATATATATATATATATATATATATATATATATATATATATATATATATATATATATATATATATATATATATATATATATATATATATATATATATATATATATATATATATATATATATATATATATATATATATATATATATATATATACATTGGCCTCGGGTTAACGAACTCAATCCGCTCCAAAAGGTCGTTTGCTAACCAAACCATTGTTTCAATGGGTTTTTGGGTAATTGGTTCCAGCTCACCGGTACTTCCTAACTTCAACAAAAATGGCGGAAAAATTTACTTACTTTTGAGGTGTGTGTAGAAGGCTCCTGGATGATGGTGGTGATGATGTGCATTTGAAGTGGAGGTAGGAGGAGGAAGGAGAGAAGGAAGTGGAGGTGGAGGAGAAGCATTTACTGCTTGAAGGTGAGTCACCTTCCATGAAAAATGTCAGAACCTCTGGACTGACAGATTCTCCACCATGAACATCCTCTCTCTCCTTTCTTGAAGTGGAAGGCTGAGGGCTAAAGCATCTTTGTTCCTCTGCCTTTTACTGAAGAAAGTGTCACTCAGGTCTGTGGGGCATCTGTCCCTCACCATTAACTTATGTTTAAAGAAGGAGACCACTGAGTCCCTCAACATGACACAAAGTTAGTTCAGCTTTTTTCCACTTCTGGGTGCTTAGCCAGTTCCTGAACTTCCCAGTGGTAAATCACATCTTTTCAACTGTTTAGCTGACATATGGTCACTTCTAATTCTCCTCCTCACCACTGTCAGCCTCTCACCAGAATATCCTTTCATCCAGTTCCTTCAAGTCATTAGAGAAGTTCCTCCTCATGAGACATCACAAGCTCTTTTCCACATCCTTCTCTCCACTTCAAGACCCAATGACTGACCAATGGACACAATCTCCTGGTCCAACCCTGTGTCATTCAAATCCTCAAAATCATGGACTACTGATAATACAGTGCTTCCATGAAGAATTGAGGGTTCTATTGGAGACTTCTTGGCCATGATGATTGGTTAATCAATTTTACAGCCTCCAGGACGTTGAATTGTGTCTTCCAGAACTGTTTCAGTGTTAGTTCAGATCAATGGAAGTTGCCTACGACACCTCCAAACATTTTCTTCATGTACAACTTCTGGAAGTTGCTGGATCACATTCTGTCCATTAATAAGGAGTGATGTAGTGTTTGGAGGCAAAAACAACACTTTCACAGTCACCCTATACTCCACCCTGGCAAGGTCATCAGGTCATGACCAGGAGCATTATCCAGAGAGGAGAAGAGCCTTTAAAGGAAGTTTATTGGTGGTTAGTAGTTTCCTTGACAGAGGGGCAGCACATCAACAGCCCATTCATTGGTTGAACTGTCTTGTCACCCATGCCTTACGGGTTGATCTCCAATAACCCAAGCATTGTTCTACCACTTTCTGTTGCTTGAACACCCTAAGCTTAGAGGGTAGATTAAGCATAGGCTTCTAGTCGAAAACTCCCCTGAAGCATTGGCACCAAGCAACAGAGTGAGACGGTCTTTTCATGGGTTTATGCCCAGGTAAAGAGGTTTTTCATCCTGGTGATGAATGTTCTTTGGGCATCTATTCCAGAACACAGCCCAGTTTCGTCAACATTGAACACTTGCTGTGGAAGATAATTTTCTTCTTCCATCAGTTTTAAATTCAATTAAAAACTTTTGCTGCCCCTTCTTTATCAGCACTAACAGCTTCACCATGCCTAACAACACTTAAAATGTCACTTCTTTTCTTTTAAATTTTTCAACCAGCCTTTGCCAGTCTGAAATTCACCCTGTTCCTTGAAGAACCAGGTTGGATCTGTCTTTAAATGTTCATAAATCTCCTGGCTTCTTTTTCCACAAATGAAATCACCAGAAACTGAATCACCTTTTCATCTGTTTTTTCCCTAATCCAGATGATAAGTAACCCTCAGTTTCTAATGATTAGGGATCTACTTTTAAATGTTCTTTTTGTATTTGTCTCTCACTGCTCACTTCCTTAAATTTGTCTTTTTGTGCAAGAATTGTCGACACAGTTGATGCCGATATGCCATATTCTTGTAAGCAATGATTTGATTTAATACCTGTTCGTGTTTTTATTATTTCGCTTTATTTGGATTAGAAATCACTTTTCTTGACTTAGCCCCTATGCTGATTCAAAAACAATGGCAACACGAGATTTTTCAAAGTTAAACTAGCTGTAAATAAAGAATATTTTCTTTTTAAAGTAACACTGCACTGCACTATATATTGTCAATATGTAAAATAATTTTCAAATGACCATTGACTTAGTTTTGGAAACACAGAAAAAAAGCGCTAGGTTGAAGAGAGTTCAAGCAAGAGGCATCGAAAGTGGAAAACACAGGAGAGAGACTGACGCCTGTTTGCTGTGTTAAGAGGCTGGATGTCAGCAGATTAAACTAGTCATTTTACCTTTTCAATTATGTTCAATAATTGTTAAAATGACTAAAAAAATTGAATATTAAACTTTTAAAAATTATTGAATAGTATAAACTTCTTGATATTTACAAAAATAGTATGAATTTGGGTTTACAGAACCCATTAATGCATTACGACTGATACTAAAGTTGGTTGCCCGGGTCAGTGCTTTTAAAACATGTTGAGGTCGGTTCGTGAAGAAGTTCGTTGTTTAAATTTTTTTCGTTAAACTAATCTGAAGATCCTTATGGAAGGCAGTTCGTTAATCAAACACAAGGAATCCTGGGAGGGGTGTTCGCTTAAACCCAGGGGCTCACATATATATATATATATATATATATATATATATATATATATATATATATATATATATATATATATATATATATATATATATATATATATATATATATATATATATATATATATATATATATATATATATATATATATATATATATATATATATATATATATATATATATATATATATATATATACAGTTGCACTTCACTTAATCAGTCAATAGAACCCAGAGGGTCCTGCTAAGTGAACTGCTATGAACAACAGAACATAGGGATTAATTTCCAATAGAACTCAGCCCGACTTCAAACTCAATTTTTGGACGACAAATAACTATGTTGTAGTAAAAAATTCTATCTTAACTTTATGGTGGCATGAAAAAAACAAGTAATATAGAAGAGGTTAGGTTAGGAAAGATAAAGGTTAAATATAGGAAAAATAAAGAATAGGTTAAAAAACGAAAATTTTTGGCGGAACACTTACGGTAGTAGAAGAGAGATGGGTCGGCATATCGATGGAGGTTGTCTCAGGCAGAGGGGGCAGATTACTGCCCCTCAGGTGAATCAATTATTACTAGGTGAATCACCATTAGGTGAATCAATATCACTGTCACTTACAGTTGTCATGGCTTCCCTGACAAATCCTCAAAAATCAACTTCACTCACTATCACTGGCTTGGACTGGCTGTGGTGGGTTGCGGGCGAAGAACCTCAAGGTGCTTTTCTGATCTGCTGGTGTTGATGTTGTCGTGATACACCTTGATGTACGGCCCATAGCCTGCACCCGAAGTCGGGTATGAAGACGCCATGATGCTCATCGCTATTGTCGCGGGAACGGCGGACTTAATTTTTTTCTGTAAACTTATGAGACACTTTAATATCACTATGACTTAAACTAGGTTCTTCGGAGAATGACGACCTTCTTCTCCTCCTCTTCACTACGGTTCTTCTTCCAACATCTCGCCGGCAGTC